GGATGGGTGGTTGAGTCATGAGTGGGTAGCGCGGGCTACTCAGATTCTCGAAATAGTAACAGCATGGTATATAGTTCTTTACAGGGGTCGTGCATGGTATATGGTTCTTTTGCCCATAATCATATTAATCATGACTATTCGAATAGTCAAATAGCACGTAAGCATGATTATTCATAATCATGAATATTCGTGATTATGATTAACGTATTTCACAAGCGAGTAAGCATGATTATTCATAATCATGAATAACGTGGTTGTACACCGAGTCGATCACTTTTCCCCACCCTACTACTGTAAGGATGCCTTCTCATCTCTCACTCTAAGGAGCAGACTCTGAGTAGCTGCGGGTCACGTGTGATCATTTGGGCAGGCTAACCGAGTCGGATGGGTTTCGGGTACTTGAGGGAAATGACTCACGAGGTTCCCCCTGGTCACATGTGATCATTTGAGCGGGCTAACCGAGTCGGATGGGTTCGGGTACTTAAGGGAATTGACTCACGGGGTTCCCCCTTGATCTTTTTTGTATCCTTCATAGTAGACCTATAGGATAGCATCCGTTTAGCCTCCGACTCGCACTCTCATATGCTATTACTGTGAGCTGGGTGCCCTGTGTCCTTACAGAACTACACGAACCAAGATATTTACCAAGGTGGACCTCAGAGTCGCCTATAACCTAATTCGAATCAAGGAAGGGGATGAGTGGAAAACAGCATTCTGCACCCGCTATGGCTTGTTTGAATACTTGGTTATGCCCTTTGGTCTAACAAATGCACCAGCATCCATGCAGAGGCTCATGAATGCAGCTCTCCATGAATACTTGGATGTGTTTGTTATCATCTACTTAGATGATATCTTAGTCTACTCAGGAGACCCAACGGAACATATTGGTCATGTTCGGAAGGTATTACAGAAGCTAAAGTAGCATCGGTTACTCCTTAAGCCAGAAAAATGTGAATTCCACAAGGATCAAGTAGAATTCTTAGGCTACATTGTCAGAACGCATGGCATCAAAATGGACCAAGCAAAGATCACAGCAGTGTTGGAATGGCCAACACCAACCACGGTCAAAGAAGTACAAGCCTTCTTAGGCTTCGCCAACTTCTACTGGAGGTTTATTATGGGATATTCCAAGGTAGCTCAATCACATACAGAGCTTACAAGGAAAGACCTTACGTTTGAATGGGCAAGCAAGGCAGAGCCTGCCTTTCAGGAACTTAAGACAAAGTTCACAGAAGCACCTATCCTAGTCACATTTGACCTTGTAAAGAACAGACTCCTCTGACTTCGCGATTGGAGCCTATCTAAGTCAGCCAGATAAGGACGAGAAGCTTAAGCCAGTTGCATATTACTCTAGAAAACTGTCACCTGCGGACTCAACTACGACATCCACGACAAGGAGCTGATAGCTATTGTCGTTGCTTTTGAGCAATGGTGAGTATATCTTGAAGGATCGACCTACCCAGTACAGGTATGGATGGATCATAAGAACCTTATATACTTCACCACAACCAAGGTGCTAAACCCCAGACAAGTCCGATGGGCAGAGACACTCGCAGCCTACAACTTCACGATTACATATCGCAAGGGCTCTGAGAATGCAAGAACTGACGCTCTTAGCAGAAGGACTGACTACATCGGCCCTAAAGAGGAAAGACCTAGAGCCATATTGAAGAAGACAGACGCAGGAATGCAATACAACGAATTGCTAGCCACAATTGCCACTGTGGAGAACTCGGAGTTGGAAGAAAGACTCAAGAAAGCTTATGCAACAGACGAATTTGCAAAGCGAGTCTTAATAAAAACCGAAGGCGACTTCGCCATCAATGAACAAGGATTGATCCGATTCAAAGGATTAGTGTATGTCCCAAACAAAATGAGACTCCCGCTAGTGCAAGAACAACACTCGCTACCAGCACACAGCCATCAGGGAGTAACATGCACCTTTGAACGAATCACCCGACACTACTACTTCCCAGGTATGAGGAAGCAGGTGGAAATGGTAGTAAGAGAGTGCGAAATTTGCAGCAAATCAAAATCTAATAGGCACTTGCCATATGGACAGCTGAAATCTACTCTAATACTAACAGGAGCATGGAAATCTATAGCTTTAGATTTCATTATCAAGCTACCACCCTCTTGGGACCTGTTAACAGGAGTAGTATTTGACGCTATCCTGGTTATGATGGAAAGACTCAGGAAATACAGAACGTTTGTGCCATATCTAGAAGCTAGTGATGCTAAAGCACTAGATTTCGTCCTTCACATGGTCTTTCAGACCTGCGTAGAATTGGTCACAGATAGCCTCATCTCCCCAGTTGGTGAGTGTTGCATGCTGTTGAAACTCAGCAGTGTATGCAACTGCTGACCCTCTCTGCTTGAGAGCCTGGAGTGCCCTGACTGCATTCCGTCGTTCATCAATGTCTCCGAAGTTTTTCTTAAGCCTTTTAAGGAATCCACCCCAGGATACAAAAATTTCCTTTGTTCCTTGGGTAACTAAGGTGCTGCATTTTCCTTCAACTGTTGGATGGTTCATGTAGTCAGCGAGGTAGTTAGAGATCCATTCTGAGGCTGGTCCTCGAAAGAGTGCCACAGCCCATAGGACCTGTTTCACTTCTTTGTTGAAGTGTTTGGCGTTAAACGCCATCCATAGCTCCGTCTGGATGATGAAACTCTTGAGCTTCTTGCGATCCCCATGAAAGGTGTCTGGGAATGCAATCTTCAACTTGTTCGAAGGGTGAGCCTGTGGGGCTTCGATGGTAGGTTCAGTAGCAACCTTCCCCTTCAATCCAACATTTGATCCAGTATCGTCTCCAGCCATGTTGATTTGTGTGTAAGCTGGTACCTCGTGTAAGTGGTGCTCAAAATGTAATGCTGACTTCTAAATGATAGAAGACACAGAGGTTTCTTGCATAAGGTTGATTTGACAGAGTAGGCAGGGGATTAAACACAAAGGCTTTCCAAGTAACACGTTACAGTATTGTAAAGAATACTATATTGAGTTGAGCACAAAGCTCCTATCTAAGGAAATACTATCTACTTATATAGTGGTGTCATGCCAAAGGGATATCCGTGGATAACATGGATAACATAATATCCATGATATCCAATGTTATCCATCACCTGATATTCCGTGGATCCCTGTGGATAACATGGATAACATAATATCCCTGATACCAATGTTATCCATCACGTGAGGTTGCAGCTGTAAGCGCTAGCCATAGCACTAGCACTTAGCCGTAACACATTAGCAGAGGGGGGACCTGTAGGTGTAGGCGTCTGTAACTTGACATCCAGCTTTAATAATACTGCATTAGGATTGAAAGGCACAAGGCCAGCTCTGTGAAATCTAGCTTTCACATTTTCAGGTGTAATTAACTGCTTGTATGCAGTGTGGAATTCTAGAAAGAACTTGACCTTAGTTAGTAATGTGGTTTATACAGGCTTTAATAAAGGTTTTGATTTGCTGTCTGTACATCCGTTTAAGAACACTAAAACACCTAATATCAAGTGGCTAGGTTAAGTGAGAAGAGTGAGGGGGGAGACAGAGACTAATGTTGTGCTTCTTGTATAGTCCTGAAATTCGGCCGATTCATGACTCTCATGCCTATCTAGTACTAGCAGCTGATATGGCCCTTTTGCAGAGCCACGAGTATGTGTATCAAAGTGCTATAGCCATTCTAGACCTGTCTCATTGTTAGTCCATCCATTGCTAGTAGCTTTAATTGCCTAATTATTAGGAAGGCTGCCTTTAGTATACCAACTTGCAAGGTAACACTTCCCTTATACTACCAAAAATGGAGGGATACTCCTGCCTTTAGCATTTACACAAACAATTGCTATAGCCTATTCCTAGTTGCTAGGCTGAACTGCCTTGCCTGAGCTAATAACGCCCATCATAAAGCCTGTCTTGTCAAAGTTATAGAAATCACAGTCTTAGATGCTGTACTTTGCTCTTATGTTCTGCACAAGTTAAAATCACGCTCTAATAAGCTTAGGATCTTCACACAAGGCTCTTTAGAAGTCATAAACATGATTAAAATGCGTCTTTAGCTCTAGGCGGCATTGTATGAATCAATATGCCCATCGCGTCCTAACGTGCTTTTCCTCCTGTGATTCGAGGATATAATTTGCCATATCTTCTACACTAGCAAGCCGAGGTACAAACCCTCTTACATCCATATCTATATTTCGAATAATTACTTCCTCTATAACTTAGTCAATTTATAACAATTGGCTTTGGTTTCAGTGCAAGGTGTTTGGCTATCCATCCTATTCGATAGTGTCATGTACAGGACTTTGTAGACTTTGGCAGTAGAGCGACGACTAAGTTTTTTTGATGAATAAATAGCTTTGGTAGCTAGAACGATTCACGCTTCTTGGGTTTGATTTTCCATTAGTGGTTGTGTAGAAAACCTTTGTGTTTAATCTCCTGCCTCCTCTGTCAAGTCAACCTTACATAAGAAACCTCTGTGTCTTCTATCGTCTAGAAGTTAGCATTACATATAAGGGCAGCACCCTGTTACAATTAAATTACCCCCGTTTTAGTCCATGATGTCCTAGCATGGATGTAGAGACTTCTAGCTTATCATCTTATACTTGCTTGTAGGCCCATTACTACTTAGGATGCTAAGGTGTGTATATAATAGCTTAAGCCCCTAAGGACGCCGCCTTGTTAGCTAGGTAAGGAATTACACTAATTACTTGCTTAGCCCACCTAACTAGCAAGCTAATCAAAACCCATTAACTAGGGAGCTAGAATACTCTTATAATGATGTACAATTACACTCATGCTACATCCTACTAAGCCAAAAAAGACGATAGTATTCTAGCTCGCCTAGAATACGCATAACACAGTAATTTGGTTGCTAAATTGCTCTAATGGCTCTACTGGTGTAACAGGGTGCTGCTGTTACAGTACATGTGGTATATAAAGCACTTTTAGCGTGTGACAGTAACCAGGGCCCCTGCCCCTCTATTCCCAAATCAGCGCTAGGCTCTCTATGCCAAGAAATTGCCATATATGGCAATATCTGGTCGAAGGTGCCTATACACTGCCATCACCACTACGCCCGTCAATGCTGACGATTAGCATTGCGAACGAATGGCAGATTCACCGCTGCCACCCTCAATGAAGCACTCGGAAGCCCTCGTCGTGAGGCACTCGGAAGCCATCGTCGCGAGGCACTCAGAAGCCCTCGTCGTGAGGCACTCAGAAGCCCTCATCACGAGGCACTCAAAAGCCCTCGTCGTCGAGGCCAAAGACCGGTGCTAGGAGTCGGCACACAAGGAGGACAAGGGCGGGATGAGGGGGAGGTTGTAATGGTGGGTGCACCAGATGTGAGAATCTAGCCACCCACGGAAGGGATGATTTTACTAAGACAACACACTGTCTTAGGAAAAAGAGCCAAATGGTCGTAGCTTAGACTATTCCACAATGCAGCAATCAGGTGTATGATGTAGTGGAGTGGTTTAGACAAGTTGTAACAAATGTTGAGTCTGAGAACTCAGGGATAAGTCAGAGGTTAGCACCTCACTGACTTTTCAGAAACAAGGAGTAACAAGATCAATGCTTGGAAGCTTGGAAAAGACGTGGAAGTATGTGATAGTCGCTTTACTGTATTGTCTGCTTGCCCTTTCTTAAGGAAAGGGCAATCCTATTTATGCTAAAGGAGTGTTGTTCTCTCATTTTCCAAGACTTTCCATGACTAACCAGGCTTGGTAACTGTAGTCAATGTAAGAGAATCCCATAGAACTATTTCCTAGGTTTCTAGCCTATAGGAAGTAAAAGGAGGTCCAAGGTCAGAGTACCCCTATAGACAGATTATGTCATAACTTAACCAATCTTGTGGGTAATTAAGGAGTGATGACATGTAATGAATCATAGAGGGTTGTAGAAGCTTTTGGAGCTATCGTTCATGTTCCTAGGCCTCTAGTTGATAGAGATATGTCATGTGTAGTATTAGCCCAGTAACTAAGGAGTGATGTCATGTAATGAATCATAGAGGGTTGTAGAGATATGCTATGTGGTCATATCGGCCCAGTAACTAAGGAGCAATGACGTGTAATAAATCATAGAGGGTTGTAGCAATCGTTGAGTAGTATTGCTCTTGTTGTTGGTGTGACAAGCCAAAATATGTATAGTGACTTGTAGGTTTGAGGAGGAGATTTCTAAGTTTGCTCTTGAGTTTGATAGCAAACTGAGTGCAATGAATGTCAGTATGACAGAGGTGCTCTTGCTATTGCTGCTCATAACAGCCAGTGTTCATTTATGAACACCGGTCGTTCTGCCTAGGGGATCTGCCTCTAGGTAATGCTCAGCGCCTGTTCCGGTTCATGGAACAGGAACTATGCCAGCTGATTTCCCTCCTCCATATGGAGGAGATGACTTGGCGGAGCCATCTAGCACTGACTCCAGAGGATGCTCTCTGCGTCATCTGTGCTATACTGGCCTACCCAGGCCGCTGGGTCAGCCTCTGTCACGTCTTTGGATGGTCTGAGGCTTGGCTTAGCACTGTGTTTAATGACACAGTGCTATTCCTCGCAGCCCAATTTGGGCTGACTCTCTGGTGGCACCACCAGCTGACATACCATCGGCTGGCAGAGTTCGCTGCTGGGGTCAAGAGGGTCTGTGGGGTTGGGGGGGTCTGGGGCTTTGTGGATAGCACTTTCTGTCCACATTGCCACCCACAAGGCAATGTGGCCCAGAGAGCCATGTTCTCTGGGCACAAGCGCCTTTACGGCGTTAACTGGCAAACCATCTCTACCCCAGATGTCTTGATCAGCTCGCTCATGGGGCCATTTGCTGGCCCAGTTAATGACTGGGCTATGTGGTATAAGTCTGGCTACGATGCAGCTATCCGTAAGGTAAGTCCCCCCTTCCCCCCTCTTGTGACTGGTGCTAACCTCGTAACAGATCATAGAGGGTCATGAGACCCTCTATGTCTTTGGCGACCCAGCCTACTCAGCCGCCTTTGGCACTGTGTCCCGTTTGAGCATCCGCTTGGGCAGTTTAGCTTGCCTGAGGACCAGCAGCGATGGAACACTGCTCTGTCCTCTCTTAGGATTGAGGTCGAGAGAGTCTTTGGCTCTGTCCAGCAAAGCTGGACATATACTGCCTTCGGCAAGGGGCTAAGGGCTGGTATGAAGCCTGTCACTGCATACTTTGTCGTTGCTGTCTTGCTTATGAATGTGCAGACATGCCTAAAGGGGCAAGAGCGGAGGAACCAATTTGGATTGACTCCACCTACAGTGGAGTCCTATCTATCATAGGTATGTACATTCCTATTGTCACCCCTCCCCCTCCCCCCAATTCCCCTTCTAATTCCCTTTCTGCTGCTTCATCATCGCTAGCATCTGTGTCACATTGTTGTGAACAGTGCTAACCTTAGACTCTAGGTCCTCGAGCCGCTTCTCGACAGCAGAATCCTTTTCCTCCCTCTCCCCCTCCTTCGGGTTGCCTATCTGACTAGCAGCCCTCTCGACAATGCTAAAGAGGCGTTCGAGTCCTGTAGCAACAGGATCTCCCTCGAGGGGTATAACTGGTGTGAGGGTGGTCGGCTGTCATCGTCGTCAGGTGATGACGACGATGATGACCAACGGGCAGACAAGACGCAGCTCTTAAGAGCTGCTTCTTGTCTGCCCAGAGTGCAAGAGAGGCAGGCCTGCTGCCAGGCTGCTGATGCAGTTGTCTCTGCATCAGCGGTGCCCTGCGCCTCTCGCTGAGCTTGCTTGACCTCCTCGCGAGTGTCAAGCATGGTGATCCAGGAGTCCAGAGCGTCTGTCATAGACAACTGGGTGTAATGGTGGGTGCACCAGATGTGAGAATCTAGCCACCCAAGGAAGGGATGATTTTACTAAGACAACACACTGTCTTAGGAAACAGAGCCAAAGGGTTGTAGCTTAGACTATTCCACAATGCAGCAATCAGGTGTGTGATGTAGTGAAGTTGTTCAGACAAGTTGCAACAAATGTTGAGTCTGGGAACTCAGGGGTAAGTCAGAGGTTAACACCTCACTGACTTTTGAGAAACAAGGAGTAACAAGATGAATGCTTGGAAGCTTGTAAAAGACGGGGAAGTATGTGATAGTCGATTTACTGTATTGCCTGCTTGCCCTTTCTTAAGGAAAGGGCAATCCTATTTATGCCAAAGGAGTGTAGTTTTCTCATTTTCCATGACTTTCCATGACTAACCAGGCTTGGTAAATGTATTAGAAATCAAGTGCGACCCACAACTAGCTTGCTAATCATGTAGCGAATGTAAGAGAATCCCATAGAACCATCTCTTGGGTTCCTAGGCTATAGGAAGTGGAAAGGAGGTCCAAGGTCAGAGTACCTATAGATAAATTATGTCATAACTTAACCAATCTTGTGGGTAACTAAGGAGCGATGACGTGTAATGAATCATAGAGGGTTGTAGAAGCTTCTAGAGCTATCGTTCATCTTCCTAGGCCTCTAGTTGGTAGAGATATGCCATGTGGTAGTATTGGCCCACCCCCTTAAGGAGGAGATTTTCTTAATAACTTGTTCAATGAGTGTCCAAATGATATGCCGTGATGTATGTAGCATAAACAGATGTAGTCGAAGAGTTTGCAGCAATCGTTGAGTAGTATTGCTTCTGTTGTTGATGTGATAAGCCAAGATATGTATGTTGACTTGTAGGTTTGAGGAGATTTCTAAGTTTGCTCTTGAGTTTGATAGCAAACTGAGTGCAACGAATGTCAGTATGACACTGGGCATCTTGCTCACCGCTATCAAGCTCAGCGATATACGCCCTATGCTCGCAGACAAGCTTAGCTACAGCCCAGCTAAGCGTTTGGTGCTCTTTGCCTCGGTCTGCCATGAGGCGCTGAGCAATCCACTTCCAAAATGCTCAGTCCGACTGGTGGCCATATGCAGCCTGCTGCTCGATGCAGAGCCGCATGACAAAGAGCATGTCCTCAGCAGTCATACAGTTTTGACTGCTACGGGTGATGCTAGAGGCGGTGCTTGTGGTGGTGCTTATAGCGGCATCGTTGTTGTCCTCCCAGGTCAAGGGCAGGCTAAACTGGTCGAGACCAAGGCTAGGGCTCTCAATAGACTCTCTAATGGGTTCAGAGAGCTGGCTTGCCATCTGTATAGCTGGCCAGGCTGTTTTCTGGATGCCATGAGGGTTGGCTTCCATAGTTATCATAGAGTAATATTAGTATTTACCTATTTCTAGCATAGGATGTCGTTCAAATTGTTGATTATGACTAACTACATACGATACACTACTAATTTACTAGGCCAGAAATGGCTCTGTTACAGTGTGACAGTCCCCTTTCCTATTTGGGCACGTGGGGCCGGAGTGGGCACCTTGGTGTTAGGTATGCCTTACCAAATATGTTACTGTTATACGCTAAAAGTGTGACAGTAACAGTTGCTAAATTGCTCTATTTGTGGCTAATTAAAGGCATTTAAGTAGGATTGGTATTCTAAATAGATGTGAGCTTGATGTGTCTATAGTGAATCTCCTTAGCTGTTTCTATTACTAATGTAGGTGTTTCGCTATAGACACATCAAGCTCACATCTATTTATAATACCAATTAGTACTTATAAGCTATGTATCTATTACACTAATGTCTTTTCTTCTACGTTTGAAAGTAATTACGCCTCTTTATAGGCTTGGCCTTTGGCCTATGTCTAGCCATTTGGTTTTGTAGTGTAGTAAACAGGACTTGAAAATGGCTTGTAGTAGCGCGAATAGATCAGAATTTCTTCTCTTTCTAGCTTGTAATTGCCTTTTGTATATCATCTTTAGAATAGGCCTTAGGGGTTGCATGTTTATATACTATAGTTGGTAGTTATAAGGGTTAGAAGCTAATTAATTATAATCATGATTATTTAGTTGTAATTATAATCATGATTATTAAATCATGATTATTAATAAATCATATAACGTGCATGTATAACGAAAGTGCCAAACAAGCGAAAGTGCCAAAATATCGCGACTACCCCATAAGAATTGCGATAAATCCACCACAACAATATAAATTAATTAAAACTACTTGGAGTCCTCTTCCTCAGACCTGTCTATTACAATCTGACAAGTGCGCGCATTGTGTCCAGTCTCACCACACTTGCCACAGCGACGTGCATGGGTTTCTTCCCTTGGCTTCCGACCACTACTTGCCCTTATTTCTTGCTCTACTTGCTGCACAACGTCCCTTTCATCCTGTAGCTCTTGCGCCCCTTGTTGACTAAGTGATCCTCCTTGCTGTAGTCGTGTTTTCCTAGCTCTCCGGCGCTTGCTTAGTACTTCATTTGCCTGTCGTAGGTTTTGGTTCTCTCCCTTTAGCAGTGCTAATTGATGCATTATTTGCGATGCACCCTTTGTAAACTGGTCAACAGCTGCATAGATTGAGGTTGGAGAGCTATTTTGATGATGCGCAATTCGGTTTTTAATGAAAGTAGACTGTGATACAGCTTCAGTTGGGTTATTTGGTGTCTGAGAAACCCATGGTTGAGCGGTGTTTGGGTGAGAGGTTGGAGGTGTTGGCGTCTTAAACCTAAGGTCAAGTGTAGATATTACACTCTCAGGGCTAAATGGAAGAAGCCCAGCACCTCGGAACCCTCCCTGAATATTGCTTTCTGTCATTGCAATGTTAAATGCAGCGTGGAAGGCAGGAAAGAAGTCATCCTTAGTAATGTGAATAATATGAGCCCGCATCATATCTTCAATTTGCCGACCGTAAGCTCTCTTTAATGGGCCAAAACAGCCAACATCAAGTGGTTGAAGTATATGGGAAGAGTGAGCAGGCATACAAAGCATAATAATGTTGTGTTCTTTGCAGTACTCCTCAAACTTGTCTGAATGGTGGCTCTCATGACCATCAAGGACTAACAAGCGATAACCACCAACACTCCGGAGCTTTGTGTGCTTCTCACAGAAAGCAATATTCAGGGAGGGTTCCGAGGTGCTGGGCTTCTTCCATTTAGCCCTGAGAGTGTAATATCTACACTTGACCTTAGGTTGAAGTATATGGGAAGAGTGAGCAGGCATACAAAGCGTAATAATGTTGTGTTCTTTGCAGTACTCCTTATGGATTGGATTCCATACCTCTCTCGTTTGTAGTCCAGCCATTTGCAGTAACAGCAATTACCCAATCTGCTGGAAATCCGCTATTCTCATACCAAGATGCAAGGTGGTTTTTACCTGCCACAATGACAAATGGCGGCACTGCCCAACCTTGAGAACTAACGCCTTGGATTACTGTAACCCATTCCCGATTGCCAGGCTGCACCTTTTTTGCCTTTGCCCGCCCATCTGAGCTCGTTACTACCGTTGCGCTTGAGATGACGCCCATCATAAACCCAGTCTCATCAAAGTTGTAGATATCTGCATTGTTGATGCCATACTTTAGAATTGTGTTCCATACAAGCTCAAACCAGCCACGAATGACTTCTGGATCTTCGCACTTAGCCCTCTGGTAGTCGTATTTTCGCTGGAAGCGTGTCCGGAGCTCTACATGGCGCTTAACAAAGTTTGAAGCCCAACGTGACCCGACGTGTGGCGCGTCGCGTGTTGCAAGTAGTTGATTTGCCATATCTTCAACAATAGACAACTGAGGAGGGAACCCTTTAGCAGCTAAGTCAAGTATATACTGAACAAGAACTGACTCCTCTAGGTTACTTAATTTCCGTAAGTTGGCTTGGATATCGCGTCGTGAAGGTACGCCTTGTAAACGGTGACATAGCTTGCGGTGGTCTACGGAATAGATCCTAGCTGCAACTCGAAGGCACAAATTTGGGTCGCTTTGCATAGTTTGGATAGCTAGCACTAATTAGCTTTCATCATTTTTATGGCGCATGTTTTGTTGTGGAGGAATTTAACATTTAGTTGGGGGGGTTGGTCACCGCATGATTTTGGCACTTTCGCTTGTTTGGCACTTTCGTTATACATGCACGTTAATCATAATCATGATTTATACTCATAAATAGTCCTGATTATAATCATAACTATAATCTATACCTTATTAGGCTTAGTTATTACCTAATTAGGTATAGTTTAGATAAGCAATAACATAAGATAAGAAAAATGAAATATTTCTAGAGAGTTTGAGATGCTTATAAATGCTTATAAATATATCTATAGAGCCTTTAACTCCCTCCTTAAAATATAATAGGCCTAGCTATACTCTTCCTTTAGGGTTAGGGTTAACCCAACCCCCCTTATCTTATCTTATTTTATCTTATCACTTATATAAACTATACCTAATTAGGTATAGTTTATAGTCATGATTATGATTATATAAACTATACCTAATTAGGTATAGATTATAGTCATGATTATTTAGTTGTAATCATAATCATGATTATGATTATATAAACTATACCTAATTAGGTATAGATTATAGTCATGATTATTTAGTTGTAATCATAATCATGATTATGATTATATAAACTATACCTAATTAGGTATAGATTATAGTCATGATTATTTAGTCGTAATCATAATCATGATTATGATTATACACTTTATAAATAATCATGATTATGATTACGACTAAATAATCATGATTATAATTGATTTTCTAACCAGCTACTGTGTTCGGAGTACAGTAACATTTCCTAGTTCCGTCGTATTGCCATGATCCTCGGGCGTAAATAAAGATGAAGGCCTCTCTTGAATGCATGGGAGCTACGTGTCATGTCAAGTTGATGCGGTGCTTATATAGTTCTCAATTCTTCTATTCTCTGAAAATAGGACTGTACTGTACAAACCCGTCGAACTGGCGTACCAGTTGCAACAAGGCGGAAATGGCGCCCATGTATTCAAACTTTTCGACCTCACCGCTCCAAATCCGCCCCCGCTGTACAATGCAAACATCTAATTCAATCTAATCCCCATCTCACAGCCCAATCTCAGCCTTCACCCACTTTTCCAGCCCACCCCTAGCAATAATCTCCTGCACATTCGGCGGCATCTGCCCAACAGCCTGCGTCCAATTCGCCCCCCCCTCACCCTCCTGCACCGTGATCTCGCTCCTCCTGACATCCCACTCAAACGTCCACCCCGTCCTGCGCGTGAGCGCCTTGTCCGCGCCGCTGAACTGCTTCCTCAGCCCCTCGACCAGGCGCGGCACCTCGAGTCCGAGAAGCGCGTTGTTGATGCTGTTGCGCGAGAAGATGTTGCCGAAGCTGCCGGAGACGACGAGCGGGATCTTGCTCGCGAGGATCGCGGTCGCGGCCTGCTCGCGCGAGCTGCCGCAGCCGAAGTTGAAGCCTGAGACGAGAATGTCGCCCTCACGGATGACGCTGCCGAATTCCTTGTCGTAGTTCTCCATGCACACCTCGGCCATCTTCTCGATCGAGACGCCGTCCTGGTATGTGTATTTTCCGGGGTAGATGGCGTCAGTGTTCAGGTTGTCGGCGTCGCAGAAGACGATCTCGCCTCTCACCTTGTCCGGGAATCCCGCAACGATCTCAGTCAGTCCCGCGCCCTCTTTTTCGGTCGTGACCTCCTCGGCCTTCCCAAAGAGGCTCGACTGCGCGTTGTCGACGAGCGAATCGGCCTCGGAGATCAGCTTCGCGAGCGCCTCTTCGATGCTGGTCGCCTTGTCGGCTTCGATGTTGCCAGTGCCTTCGCCGAGGACCACCTTCGTCACGCCTTCTGGTGCCTCGTAGAATCCGGGGCAGCTGATGTATCCGCTCAAAGCGCTAGCGGCTACGACTTCAGGGCTGGCGAGGTACGCCTTCGCATCTGGGCTGCCCATTCTGCCCTTGAAGTTGCGGTTGCTGGCGCTGATGCCAACTTCGCCTGCCTCGAGGAGACCTGTGCCGAGACCAATGCATGGCCCGCATCCAGATGGCAACGGCTTGGCACCAGCCTCGAGAAGGACGCCCCAATCACCCGCTTCTTCAGCTGTTTGCTGCTCGGCGAGTGACGCCGCTGCGATGTATAATTCAACGTTCGGTGCGACCTTGGGGGACGCGCCGGTCTTAGCAGCCTCAGTGAAGACCTTAGCTGCAGCGGCAAGATCCGAGGCTCTTGAGTTGGTACAGGAGACGAGATACGCCTTCTGGATGTTGATTTTCTGTGCCTCGAGATCCCGCAGTGGCGTTGCAACCTTGACGCTATTGGGTCCAGAAACGTAGGGAGAGAGCGTAGAGAGATCTAGGAAGAGCGACTTTGCGTATGTAGCGCCTCGGTCTGCTCTTATTGGACTAGTGGTGAGGTTCTCGATGATGGCATGGGAGAAGCGGTCCTTGCTTCCTGTGCCTGACTCATACATCGCCGCCGTGGTCGCCTTGTATCGTAGCCATGACAGAAGCACAGAGTCGATTGGGAAAAGACCGGATAATGCGCCCCACTCCGTTGTCATATTGGCAATGGCAAGGCGGTCATCGACCGGCAGGCTACGCATCGTCTCCTCGGATCCAGTAAATTCGATGGCGTGGTTGAGGACCTCGTCTCTGTTGAAGAGACCGCAGAGTGCAACAATTACATCTTTTCCAGTGACGCCCACTGGTAGGACACCGGTGAAGTGGCATTTAGCCACAGGGGGTACCTGCCACCACGTTCGGCCAGTTGCCCATATGCTCGCCGCGTCAGTTCTGACAATGGGCGTCCCGAGGCATCCAACGCCACCATACATGTTACTGTGACTGTCCGAAGCAACGGTAACTGTGCCAGGCCATGCGTATCCCTCTTCTATCATCAATTGATGCCCGATGCCTTTTCCCGCGCCGAAAAACCTTATCCCCTGTTGTTCGGCGAAGGTCTCGATCTGCTGGTATTTCTTAAGATTCGTATCGCTCTTGTTCTGGACGTCGTGGTCGAGCGTGAACACCATTTGGCTAGGGTCGTTGACCTTCGTAGCGCCAATGGACATAAACTTCGATGCAACGGGCCAAGAGTTACTGTGCTAGTTAGCATTCTTCTGAAAGAGTCCAACACAGGTGGAATTGAAGTCTCACTCGTGCGTCATGCATTTGTGAGGTGAGAGAGTCACAAAGTCTTGCCAGAAGAGTTAGCACTGGCTCCCAACGCGCAAGTCTGCAACATAGAAGGGGCAATTCATACCTCCAGACTTCACAACCTTGTCTTTCGGTAGCCCAAGGGAATAGCGCTGGACAATCTTCTCCGTGAGAGTCTGCGCCTTGTCCAGAGACGAGAGGGAGGCATTGCTCATCCTGTAGACAATGCTACCGTGGAAAAGTCGCCCGGCGACGATGGGCAGCGCTCGCGGGCGCATCGGCCCCAGCGACTGCATATTCACCCGCATTTGGGTTGCTCTGGTGTTCATGTTGCAATCCAAGAAACTTCGAGCTCTGAGGCGGCCAGAAAATCAGAGGGAGATGAGCACGTGGTATCGGTGGTTAGCGGTGGCAGCAAATCATCGACGCGGATTATCAATTCTGGGCAAAATAACGTGCTTGACAAATCAGGAGTAGCGCAGCCTTGTACGGTGCTACTTTATTCCGGGTTACTCCACTTTGGGACCTTTGTGTCACGAGCAATCAGACTCCAATCACGTGCGCTAGTGCCAAGGCAGAGGGGAGGGTCTTGTTGTAATATGGTCACGTGACCCAACTCAACTTCACCGTAATTTCAGGCAGCTACAATTAGACAGAACAATACACAGATTACTGAACAGTTATGAGCCCGGAGCAACTCCAAGACGCATTTTGAAGCCTATAGAAACCCGTACGGACCTAATACCCCTCCTAGGAGTCGAAAAAACCATCATTATGGCGACCCTACAGAAGGCGGGGGTGGTCCTCACAAGCCCTAGAGACTGGGACTAGTGGATAGAGACTATCAAAACTGCTTCAATGAAGGCAGGAGTATGGGGGTATATCGATCCATCAATCGAGGACCCTCCTACACTCCTACAGCCCGTTCGACCTATTCCTGAGTTCTTACGGAGTGCCACGCAAGCTGGTGGTGGTGTTACTGCTCAAACAAGACCTGGGAGTGTCAACAAGAGCTTCAGGTAGCCAGACCATCCAACCTTCAGTAGAAGGCCAACAGCAATTAACGCCAATTACGTACGCATCTCTTACAGAAGATCAGAAGGAACAGCTTCGAAACCTACAAGCTGATTTCCAATATGAGCGCAAGGTGTGGGAAAAGCAGGAGGAAGCAATTCAGGGGCTTCGCTCTAAGATCCAAGAAACCATCAAACGCGACTTCCTACCCTATACCTACAATTGCGATACTCCGTACGATATGCTTAGAAAGCTACGAGACCAATTCGCACCTACTCAAAGAGCTAGAATCAGAGAATGGAGACTAGAATGGCAAAAGGCTGCGAAAATGCAAAGAGGCAAGGACCTTGAAGACTGGCTCCTAAACTGGGAGAATCTATACACTCAAGGCCGTACGCTACAGGCAACAGAGGTTATCGACCCCCACGACGCTATCTATACCTTCCTTGATGCAATAGGACCTTGCGAATTCCGAGGACCATGGAAACACAAGCTAGAGAAGCAGACAAAGTCGTACAAATTTGAGGAGGTCCTACGACAGTATAGAACCAACCGTAGGCAAGAGAGATTCACCCAGAAACCTAGGGGGGAACATGGAGTTTTCGCACTACAAGAGGATGACAATAGCGACCTACAGCCAACGCTCCAAGGCCGTACGAACAACCTACAACAAGGTCAGCAAGGTCAGAGAGGCAGAAAACAGAAAAATCAGGCTCGACTAGACTGCCCTTGTGGAACAACACACAAGTGGCGGAACTGCCTCTATGTGATGAAGTCAAAGTGTACGAGGCAATGGCGCCCCAATAAAGAGATTAAAGCTAAAGTAGAGGCCTATATAAGTCAAACCAGGATTCCAGTACGTTATCCAAAAGGCAGAAGAACAGAATAATTTCAACAACCCGAATGGAGTACAAACCCGTACGAATACAGATCCACCTATGTCTTTCACTACAGTCTTCCAAGTCTCCCAAGGACTAAAGCCGAAAACCTCAGCCTATGAGCTCTCTAAAAGCATAATTCTCGACTCTGGAGCTACAATTCACGTCTGCAACGACTGTACGAGGTTCTACAATATCCAAGAATGTCAAGATAATAGCTACCTCTTAGCTGGAGACCAAAGGGTGAAGATTGAAGCGTTTGGGTCTGTAGATATTACAGTCCAAAACGGGGAGGATAAGAAGTCTCTACGGACTATCACCCTTACAGATACAGCTCTCATTTCATCCTTCCACACTTCAGTCGCTTCTCTTAGACGATTCATCCAAAAGGGAGTTTATTGGAATACTGCTGCACAAGGACTTACGTATGGAGATCAACCGTTCTGCAACACTCCAATGCTTCATGGACAATGGGTTCTTGAATACATCAAAAATGAGCATACCCGAGTTGTTTATAGCACTCAGGATCAACAGGACAACATTGTCCTATCTTCGTATGGACCTCATAAGGACCTAAAAGGCACTGCAAAGGAATGGCATAACCGCATGGGACACCTAAACCAAAACGCCATTAGAAAACTCCAAGAGAAGACCGCCGGAGTTATCGTCACAGACCTAGACTCGTACGATACTCAGTGCGAAGTATGCCGACTTACGCATGCTACAAGGCAGATTTCTAGAAGATCTACACCATGCTCAAAAGTGCCATATGAGAAGGTCCACCTTGACCTAATCCAAATGCCAGAGGCATACGATGGCAGCACACAAGCCTTACATTTCCTATGTGATAATTGCCGCATGAACCACGTCTATACTATAAAGGATAAAACACAAGGAACGCTCCTACAGACGATTAAGGACTTTGTGAGCTACGTACGGAGAAGATGGGGGTTCCAAATCCGTATATTCCACCTAGATGGTGAAGCCTCACTTGGAAATGAATGGGAGGGTTGGATTAAGGACGAAGGATATGAAATCCACATCTCTCCACCCTATACAGCAGAGCCGAATGGAGGAATAGAGAGGTCAGGCCGTACGATAATCACACGATCACGCGCACTTAAAGAATCAGCCAACTTACCAGAAGGAATGTGGCCTGAGATTTTCAAAACAGCAGGGTACCTCATAAACCGCTCACCATCGTCAGTCATAAACGATGAGACCCCGTACGGACTTCTACTCCAGTCCTTACCTACAGAGAGCCAAAAGCCAGAGCTACTTAAGCCATTAATCTCTCATATTCGCGCTTATGGCTGTAGAGCCTATGCCCTTATTCTAAACAAGCCAAAGCTTGAGAGGATACAGAGGAACGCCCAAATAGGCTACCTAGTTGGCTATAACTCTACAAACATATTCCGCATTTGGGTTCCGCAACTTAAAAGGGTTATAGTTACAAGAGACGTTACCTTTGATGAGACAAAGGCTTATGACCCTTCGTACGAGGCTCAGCTTGTCCAAACAGAGCTCGAAAAGACAGTTCAGGTCATTGAAATACCAGATATTCAAGATCAAGAAGATGAGGAGTTTGAGGGGGAACAACAGCCTCAGAACGGGACAACAATTCCGTATGAATCAGAGGCAACAAACACCTCCTCTCCTCAAGAAGAGCCGCCTACTCAGAAGGACCACGGAGCTACAGAGCTACAGAAACAACTTCAAACGCCTGAAATGACACTGGAACGCCCTGAGGACACTGTACGAAGACACGACGTCTACCTAGCTACAATAGCGATACCAGAAGCAAAGCTAAGCTTACACCAAGCTTTCCTAGTAGGAACGGAGTTCAATCGACAGAGCATACACCGTACGGACCTACCAGCTGCTCCAAAGTTCTGGAATCAACTCCAAACTCATCCACATCGAATAGGATTCCAAGCTGCAGCTGCAAAGGAAATAGGAGACCTTCGAAAGCAAGGAACGTTCACATCTGTCAATGACAGCTCCGTACGGAACTTTGTGATACCCCTTATGTGGGTTTTCACATACAAATTCAATGACAATGGCTACCTTCTTAAATATAAGGCTAGACTTGTTGTAAGAGGCGACCTACAACGCTATTCTATCCATGATGAGACGTACGCAGCTACGCTTGCTTCAAAAACCTTCTGAGCCTTAATGGCAATCACAGCCTACTTTGATTTGGATACACAACAATTAGATGCTATAAACGCATTCACAAACAGCCGTATTGACGAGGAGGTCTACGTACGGTGTGCAGACGGCTACCAGGAGCAAGGAAAATGCTGGAAACTTAACAGGGCACTCTATGGACTTCGAAGGTCCCCCTTACTCTGGTTTCGAGACTTCTCAGAGACACTCAAGGCTCGAGGCCTCGTACAGGTCCCAGAAACACAGTGCCTCTTTGTATCTTCAAAGATTATTGTCTTCTTCTATGTTGACGATATTTGCATCCTTAGCCATCCTAGCCACAAAATGGAGGCAACACAGTTCCGTACGAGACTGATGGAAGCGTATGAGTTTCGAGAAATAGGAGAACTTCAATGGTTCTTAGGCATAAGAATTGTGAGGGACCGCACCCAGAAAACCCTATGGCTGTGCCAGGACTCCTATATCGACAAGATCACAACTACGTACAGAGTAGCCTCTATTCGATCCACCTGAACGCCAATGGTTACAGACAACCTAACCCAATTTGATGGCCAGGCAGATAAGCAACAAATCCATCTTTACCAACAGAAAGTAGGATCAGCAAACTACGCAGCAGTCGTAATGAGACCTGATATAGCCCGTACGACACAGAAACTATCTGAATTTCTCATCAATCCAGGCCCAGACCACATGGCTGCAGTCGACAGACTTCTACTCTACCTTAAGGATACTGGGCGGCGTGGGCACGGGTGCCAGCTCTCTTGCCAGCCTTTGGTGGCTGGGGGGGTGGTGGGGTGGTGTCATACTGACATTCGTTGCACTCAGTTTGCTATCAAACTCAAGAGCAAAACTTGGAAATCTCCTCCTCAAACCTACAAGTCACTATACATATTTTGGCTTGTCACACCAACAACAAGAGCAATACTACTCAACGATTGCTACAACCATCTATGATTCATTACACGTCATCGCTCCTTAGTTACTGGGCTGATATTACCACATAGCATATCTCTACAACCCTCTATGATTCATTACATGACATCACTCATACTACCACATGACATATCTCTACCAACTAGAGGCCTAGGAGCATGAACGATAGCTCTAAAAGCTCCTACGAACCTCTATGATGCATTACATGTCATCGCTCTTTAGTTACCCACAAGATTGGTTAAGTTATGACATAATTTGTCTGTGACATAAATTGTCTATAGGGGTACTCTGACCTTGGACCTCCTTTTACTTCCTATAGGCTACGAACCTAAGAGATGGTTCTATGAGATTCTCTTACGTCGACTACAGTTACCAAGCCTGGTAAGTCATGGAAAGTCTTGGAAAATGAGAGAACTACATTCCTTTAGCATAAATAGGATTGCCCTTTCCTTAAGAAAGGGCAAGCAGACAATACAGTAAATCGACTATCACATACTTCCACGTCTTTTCCAAGCTTCCAAGCATTCATCTTGTTACTCCTTGTTTCTGAAAAGTCAGTGAGGTGTTAACCTCTGACTTACCCCAGAGTTCCCAGACTCAACATTTGTTGCAACTTGTCTGAACCACTTCACTACATCACACACCTGATTGCTGTGTTGTGGAATAGTCTAAGCTACGACCCTTTGGCTCTTTTTCCTACGACAGTGTGTTGTCTTAGTAAATTCATCCCTTCCTTGGGTGGCTAGATTCTCACATCTGGTGCACCCACCATTACAGTATGGAAGGCGCGGGGGTGGAGCTCGTCTTTGAGACGTTCGTGGTTGGGGTTTACTTACGTAACCACTTACAAATCCAGGAGTGTCCGTGATGTCGTTCGCTTAGTATTCGGACACCGGTGTCCATATACTGGAACTCCTTCATAACGTACTTGACACGCCAGTCGTATTTGCATGCGAGTCATATCGCGACACACAAAATCTGCACTTTACAGGTTAATAACTCAACAATTAACTATTTAAAACCTGTAAAACTACCCTAATTAAACCTGCTTTAATGGGCATGTACGGGCAGTATGTGTGAGTGATCTACACATACTACATGCTCGTGGCGCACATATTTGCACATCTGCTAGGTCACCTGTATGTCATACTGACATTCGTTGCACTCAGTTTGCTATCAAACTCAAGAGAAAACTTAGAAATCTACTCCTCAAACCTACAAGTCACCATACATACCTTGGCTTATCACACCAACAACAAGAGCAATACTACTCAACAATTGCTGCAAACTCTTTCACTACATCTGTTTATGCTACATACATCACGGCGTATCATTTGGACACTCATTGAACAAGTTATTAAAGAAAATCTCCTCCTTAAGGGGGTGGGCCAATACTACCACATGGCATATCTCTATCAACTAGAGGCCTAGGAATATGAACGATAGCTCCAAAAGCTTCTACAACCCTCTATGATTCATTACACATCATCACTCCTTAGTTACCCACATAAGTTATGACATAATTTGTCTATAGGGGTACTCTGACCTTGGACCTCCTTTCACATCCTATAGGCTAGAAACCTAGGAGATGGTTCTATGGGATTCTCTTACGTTGACTACAGTTACCAAGCTTGGTTAGGGAAAGTCTTGGAAAATGAGAGAACTACATGTTACGATATCAAGTGCGCCTTCAGGGGTGTGGGGAGCTTTCCGGGGTTGGAGCGAAGTTTTCAGTTGTGGAGTGATCTCAGAACTGGTCTCGCTAAAGAGAATTCACTCCACAACAACATAGCTGTATATAGATCGAGCCACTGCTCGAGTGCTCCTCTTCTCTTTCCTTTCTTCTCTAGATTGAGTTTAATTCATAATACCCAACTGGTGCCCTATACCTTGGTGAATCGTGACACAGAGTGTGATAATTGAGTGCTCCTTGCAAAACAGGTCAAATTCAGGAGTAGAATGGCTTCCATGTCCGTCAAGAATCAAGAGCCTGTAAACACCCTTTGTATGGTCTTTTGTGTACTTCTGGAAGACGTCCGTAAGCCAGGTAAGGCCTAAAGAGTCGTTTGTCCACCCGTTGTTACTAACTGCAATGGTCCAATCTCGAGGCAAGGTATCCATATACCAACTTGATATATGGACCTTTCCCTCAAATATAACCATTGGTGGCACACTCCACCCACTTGCTGCAATTGACTCAATAACGGTAGCCCATTCACAGTTCCCTGGCTGCACACAAACTGTCTTATGGGCCCGCTCAGAACCCGTAATCACTTTTGCGGTTGTAATCACTCCCATTTGAAATACTGTCTTGTCAAAGTTATAGATGTCATTTTCCTGAATCCCATATTTGGCAATTGTGTTCTGTAAAAGTCGAAACCAATCCCCAATAACTGTAGGATTTTCACATTTTGCCCGTTGATAATCGTATTTGCGGGTGTACTTTGATTGGAGGAAAGGGTGGCGCTTTACAAAGTTGTAAACCCATCGTTGGCCAACTGTAAGAGGGGTAGAGTAGACTTCATCAGACCGTTTTTGGAGTAATAGATTTGCCATTTGCCGTACAGATTCTGATCTAAGGGGTACCTCGTTCCTCCATAGATAATATCCATTCGACAAGTGTTGACTCCTCTACGTTGCTAAGTTTTTTGTTTGCGGGTTGTAAATCGCGTCGAGCAACGCGTCCGTTAACACGGTCGCGAACAGTTGTGTATGGCACGTCGTAGGTTGTACAAGCCGCTTTGAGGTTGCTAAAATAGCCTTTACGGAAGGCCTGAATAGCTAAATCAACTCGGCCTTCAATCTGACTAGCCTGAGTGTGCTGCGGTTGAGCCATTATGGTCATTAGTATCCGTAAAGTGCGGATTTGGTGTGTCGCGATACGACTCGCATGCAAATACGACTCGCTTGTCAAGTACGTTAATCAATAAGTTACAGATATCCATAAGGCGACTCCGGCGACTCCCCACTGTTCCTGTCCTGCCAAGGCTCTCTTACACTTTGCCAAGATTGGAGATCTCAGCCTTACATGTTTGATTCAACGACTCGTATTGAGTAACTTATTGTCGCACGAGGCAGACGGTAAAAGATATGAAATTTGCTACCAAAAGGATACTATAGTAGTTCCTCTACAGCCACCCACTTGCACATGTCCAACTGTGAAGTACGGTCATGGCCTCAACCAACGAAGCCGAGGCGCTGAAACATGGCGCAGCGGCTTAAGTTACGCTGTGCTCTGCCGTCAGGACCCATCCGAGAATTTATCCCAGCATATCCCCAGCAAACCTTCCCAAGATGGGGAGTTACGGCTTCGCCGTCTTGCCACAGGTTTGTGTAATATCCACTGGTGGCGTTTTCAGACGACGCAAGCCGAACTGATGAGCGTCCACATGCATACAAACATTAAATCTCACGCAGCTCACGCGGCGGGCTCAACAACAGGTAATAGATTCAAGATATCATCATTAAATAGCATCATCGCTCATGCGCATAAATCTGAAATACCATCAACCCTCCCAGTCGTAACCCGTCACCAAGATCAACCCGTCAAAAACATGGACGAACACTCAAACTTCCACCTCGGGTATATCAGAGGGGTATCCGTCCCGTCTCATCCCAACATAATCAATGCGCCTAGCAGCAGCAGTTGAGGCACTCAAAGCAAGCGAAACCGGCGCAACTATGAGTCGTAATGTCAGTAGAGAGTCCTCTGTTTTGGGGGATAGATATGAAGGGAGGGAGAGTTGCGTTAGAGGGCACTCACAGGCCACAGCAGAGCCCTTCTGCTCCTCCACCGCGCATACCAACAGGCTCCTCGACGGTCATCTTCCCAACTGGTTTCTGCGGCTCGGATTAGCTGTGTATTGATGAGACGACGAGCGGGGTGGCCAAGGAGTCACATACAGGCTGTTCCTGGATTGCCTGAGCAGACGGAACATCCATCGCCTGGGCCTTTGGCTGGTTGACTTCTGGGGCAGGCATATCGATAGTTGATTAAACTGTGAATAATAATATCGGTGTGTGTTTGAAGAGAGAGAGAAGTCAGTCGTCTTTATAGATGGCGGTTGAAGTCGGAGGGGGGTTAGTGGCTGGGTTCAGCTGGAGGGCTAAGCTCCTCCTGCAGAAGCGAGCGTCGTCAACCTTGCACCAAAATAGCAGCGTTCCATATAATCTGTACATAAGCATTCGTAGATGACAAGGGTTGCATGGTAGAGAACGGAGGTTGTGCGGCATATTACCTTACCCGTACTTCGCTCCGTACGGCGATGCCCAATTATAACCTCCCACCACCCCCGAATCATAATGAGCAATTTTCGCCGTGCCTCAAGCCCCAACCACCCCTGTAGCTCCACCGCCCAATTCCCCACTCGAGTACGGTCCGAACCTCAGCGTCGCCTCTACCGTGGCTTCAGTGGCATTTCTCGGTCCCAGCGACCCTATATCGGCCAACCTTCGCATGGAGCAGTAGATAGGCTCTTATTTGTAGTACTATTGTACTGTAGCTACATATTGATATAGAACAAGTGTAGGATTAACGTGGTACGAGCCTGTTTTCCGATTGTGTGCTGTGATACCTTGTGGCCTTCGCTTCAGCTCTCCCCCCAAACTTATGACTTATGGGTAGGCTGCGCACTGGGTACTCATGAGTCGAGTAGTAGAATTTCTACTCACCCAGCTGAGTTACTCACTCATATCCCGAGTATTGTTGAATGAGGATTACTCACTTGCCGGGTACCTAGTATAGGTCTTGGCAACCCAGTTATATCACGTGTTTGATTAGTCATTGAAAAGGGGGTGTGATCGTGACTTCACATTGATATCGATATCGTAAAACGCCATAACTCAATAACTCCATTCCCATGTCGTTGATATCCTATTCCACACTATAACCTTTGCCTTTAGGTACCAGGTTACCAGAAGGTTGCCAGAACTTATCTAACCTTCATTCCTGGGTGAGAGACATTTCCATCGATTAAGCCTACAGCTCCATGATTAAACATCATATCCCGCAAACGCCTAACCAATACCATATCCTTTGCCTGAATTGTCACTCTCTTCGCATGAATAGCAGGAGATTTGTCACTATAACTGTTAGTATGTCCCTGTCACTATGTTCAAGTATCATACTCTCAAATTCTCGAATGAGGAAGCATTCGGCAGCTTCCTGGAGAGCTAGGATAGCAGATTGCTGGAAGCGAAGATTGGACTTGAAGTCTTGTGCGATTTCCCTAACAAGACGCTGGAATGAGAGCTTTGGAATAATCAGGCGAGTATCAAGTTGCTGTCTTCTGATATCGCGGAGAGCCTTGGTGCCTATATGTTTATTAGAGAGTTCTGGTAATCCTCTGGTAATCCTCTTACCAGACTTTGCACGGCGCATGGCCTTCTGAGCATGATTGTTGCAAGCTTGAGATGAGCGAACTGGAGCTTTTCTTGCTGTGCGCACAGCCTTTTCCTTTCCCTTTCCCTTTCCACCAAGCCTAGAGCCAGCCTGTAATCCAAGTGGCATCCTTGGTGCTGTGCCGCCAGTTGATCTCCTAGCAGTTTGCTTAATACGAGCCATTTGCTAACATTAAGATGAGTTAGTGAAGTATACACAAGACAAAGAAGTAGATCAAAAGATATATGTACTTACAGTGAGTTTGTAGCAAGGATGTTGTAGAAAGAGTAAAGAAAGAGGTAGAGGTTGAAAGGTATGTGTTTTATTTGAAGGTACGCGTTGTAGTGTTGTTTAGAACAGTAATTATTTGCAGGTGAATATTCCTTGACGAATATAATTGTTTGCAACTTTAAAAAAACAACAACCTTACAACCAACCACCTTCCTTGGTTACGTTCCGATCTACACATTCTTCTTCTCTTTTGCGCTTTACCTCTTCACTAGGACCTCAAGTAAGTTTATTATCTTGATTCTACAGTCAGAACTTCTGATGATCTTCTGCTAATCACGTGTTTAGCATGGCGAAACGCAAGGCACCTGAAGAACTCTCCACTAATTTGAATACTATCAAAGCTCGCAACCGCGTCTCCAACCTTACTGAAGATGAGAAGGCTGTTCATTTAGCACTCAAGGCTGACCATGGCGATCTGAGCTACTACTTAAAGAAGTTATACAAGTCTGCAAAGTATATCGCTGCCTCTGCTGAAGACAAGACACGTCTACAGAATGAATTGAAGGTTGAGCGTATTCGTGTTCGGTAAGTTCCTTCTGGTAATCTCTGGTAGCCTTAATCTAACTATAAACAGGACTGAAAAGGGCACCCATGCATCTTGCATTGCGAATCAGAAAGTCAAGAATACTAGCGCCCCTTCTTCTTCTCCACAAGCCCCACCATCTACTCCGCCACAACTTCTGTCTGAGCTTGCTGCATTTGAGGGTATCACCAGTATCCCAATCGATGACGATCATAACAGCGAATGGGAGGATACTGAGGTTGAAGACGATTTAGAGTTGGAGCTTATGTTACGGCGCGACGATATTTTAAATGACGAGGCTGTTCTACCAGATGAGCTTTCTGATGAAGAGATCGCTAGCATCCAGGCTCTCTTAACTCAAGCACGCATTGATGTTGGTACCTCATAGTCTGGTAATCTTCTGGTAATCTTCTGGTAATACTAACGGTTGATAGGCCCATGAAGAGTCCAATTTCCGCAAGTGGCAACATTTCTGGGATAGCTGTATCCGCTCATATACGAGAAAGGCTGGAAAGCTGAGAAAGAAGCCTGAGCATCTCTTTGAATATATGCCATGGATTGATGTAGAAGAAGGGTACGTCTCTGATCATTCTAGCAATCTTCTAGAGATACTAATTGTTTATTATAGCACTTTTCACAACGTTATCCCACCACATAAATATTTCTGTTTGTACGAGCAGGCAGTTTGGACAAACTTTACAGCTTGGAAGTTTGGAAAGTGGGCCCAATTACCAGGACCTGCGCAGTGGTACCCAAAGTCTTACAATCTTGTCGACAACGGATGGTTACAAGTCTCCACTCATAGTTCTAGCTTCAAAGAGGCGTTCTTACTTGTCTACTCTAAGAAATTTGATAAGGAAAAGTGGGCTAAGGTATCAGCTGCACAGGATATGTTGTTTCTGGAGTTAGAGTAGAGGAGAGAAATGGAGTATTTGATTTTCCGACGCGAATAGGGGCTATAGAGATTTAAGTATTTCATCGTAGCCAGACTTCTGGTAATCTTCTGATAATCAAACAATTTGCTACTTGCCAAATGTCATCGCAATATTCAGAGTTGTTTGACTCTGACAATCCTATTTCTAATATATTCTCAGACTCTCTCCCCTCTTCTCAACGACTACCTTCATTAAATCAAATCCCTGCGGGCCTCGAATATACTGGCAAATTAAACCAATTCATCAAATGGACTAAGGATACACACGATGTATTCATTGAGTGGTGGAAGCTATCACGATGGTATGAACAACACTCAGATCATACTACAAAACTCCTTACGAAGATTGCATGGGATTCAACCAACCGGAGTTCTCAATACTGGAGAATTTATCACCAAGGAGCAGACCGGCTTTCTGGAGAACCATGTGTCATTTGTACCTATTGTTCGAAGGCCCTTACGCATCCTGCAATCAAGTCTGCTGGCCCAAAGTCTATGGCAACACATCTTGCATCAGACATTTGCAAAAAGAAGTCACGGATGGGTAAGGATAGTCTCTATCAAATGCGAATCAATCAGATGCGACCTCAACAGGTAAGGATTACCAGATTATTACCAGAATTATATAGGCTAATATCTATAATAGGATCATATTCTCACACAAGAGGCATTTTACGAACAAGTTCTATACACAGTTATCTCAACTCATAGCTCGTTCCGCTCAGTCGAGGATCCTGAATGGAAAAGGCTTGCTATCTTACAGAATCCTCACTATCCACTACCCTCAGCAACAACTATTCGAAACCTCTTAACAACAAAGCTCACACAAATCGAAGAAGAGATGCTACAAGATGTTGTTCCTGGTTCAAAGATTGCATTATCGCTCGACTGTTGGTCAAGTGTTACTCGACTTCATTTATGGGTGTTATTGCATCATTTATCGACCGTCATTGGAAAATGCAAGAGGTCTTGATTGGGTTTGAACCTATATATACAGATCATACTGGTGCTGAGTTATGTGGAATACTTGAAAAAGTTATCACAAGGCAGCATTTAGAAGGACGAATTATATCCATTACGACTGATAATGCGTCAAACAACACTTCAATGATGAGAGATGTGGAAATAATGCTTGATAGTATTGCAGACAACGAGCATTTCATTGGAGGAAAAGTACAACACATACCCTGCCTAGCTCACGTTATTCAACTTGCCCTTAGTGCTCTCCTTGGTCGAATCCGGATTACGCCAACAAATCAAGAGATCTTAATGAACTGGGAAGAAGAGAATCAGATGGAGGGCCTTGCAAAGTTGCAGAAGGACAAGGGTATTGGATTTACACTTGGAAAGGTATATATTCTCTTGTTAGTTCTGGTAAACTTCTGGTAGTCTTTTCTAATATCTCATAGCTCCGGAAGCTCACTATCTTTGTTAATTCAAGTCAAACTCGAAGGAACAGGTTTATGACTTTGCAAAAGGCAAACATGAACCGGGGTCAATCATCTCAGAGGCTTCTTCGACTTATTCAAGATGTATCAACTCGATGGGATTCGACATGCCATATGCTTCTGCGAGCACAGCAACTCAAGTCAACAATCAATCAATATACTCGAGGCGATCATGGTGCTCACATGTTCAGACTTAGCGAGCTAGAATGGAAGCACATCGAATACATCATTGATCTTACAAGGCCATTCAACTTCTTTACAACAAACGTTGGATCGTCAGCCGGACCTACTGTCTGCTATACACTTGGAGTATATCAAAAACTCTTATCAACGCTTGAAGGAACTCGGCACCGGCTACGGCATAAGACATATCCATGGGCAGCAAAGATGACTTTAGCAATCGATGCTGCAGAGAAGAAGATTAGGAAGTATTATAACAAGCTATACACAAATACTGGATCTATCTTCGCATTTGCTAGTATCTTAAATCCTAGTGTGAAGCTCTCACACTTTAACAAAAAGGTTTGCAAGCTTGGCTTTTCAATACGAAATTGGGAGACAGAGTTTGAACAACAGTTTAGGACTCTTTATAAAGAGCAGTACTCTACAGTGCGAGTTGCGAGTCAATCAGGATTACGAGATGCAGATATGGATCCATTAGCCTTAGTATTGCAGCAAAGTCAGACATTAAATGGGACTCGGGGCCAGCGAGAGGAATATGTGAATGAGGCTGATCTCTATCTTGATGCTCGTAAGTTTCTGGTAATCTTCTGATAATCTTATTCTAACTTGTATAGCACATATCTACACAAAGATATTGCTATTTTGGCAACAAAAGGAAGAGCAATTTCCTGGTCTATCAGCAATGGCTCGTGATATACTTTGTATTCCTGCTGCTGAGTCTGGAGTTGAGCGAGTCTTTAGTGCCGCAAGGGACGTATGTGGCCACCGACGTGGTCAACTTAATCCTGAGACGATTAAGAGTATTATGCTTATATATTACTCTCGACAATACAAGAATCGTCAAGGTCATCGTGACAAGCTTGCAGATATGATGGACGTCGTTGATATGACTGAGGAGCAAGTCGAAGAAGAGTATGAGGCACAACGACAACGGATGTGCAATTCTATCGAGTTACAATATATCAGCGATGAAGAAGAACCACGATCAAATACACATATCCGAGAGACATATTCAAAGGTACAATATCCTCCGTTTAATCCTCAGCGGCCACAGCAACAGCAAGACTTATCACAAGCTGCACATGAAGAACGACAAATGCGCTACCAACAAGGTGAAGAAAGAGATAGGGCTGACCGTCTTAACGAGACCTTATACGACATCCCAGATGACGATATCCCAGATAATGAAGATATAAGAGAAGATGGTAATAATGAGGAGCCTATACTTCCAACTATTCATGACGATGAAGATAAGGATATGCCGTCCTCGCCACCAACGCCTATCCAACGCCCTCGGAAGACTGGAAGAGATCTACTTGATATCTTTCAAGCTACTCGTCAAGACCCTATAAATACTTTAGGTATTAGTAGGTCTGGCCGGCCTCATCAAGCAAGGTGGAAAGATGTTCTTGAGCATATATAATATAGTGTTCTGATAATCTTCTGATAATCGTGGTACTTAGATAGAGGAATATACGTGATTCGTTCTCACAGCTTATTAGAGATGGTAGAGTGATGCTGATAAATGTAATACTTTAAGTTAACTTACAACTGTAACCATAAAACAGTATTAATCGTATGAGGGACTGTTCACGTAATGCATATATCTTACACGTGACAGCCGAGTACTCACTGGGTTTTTACAGAGTAACTGAGTATTGGCCTCACTCACCGAGTCGAGTGAAAGGTTCAGCTACTCACCCAGCTGAGTAACCCACTGAGTGAGTGAGCCGAGTATTGGGCGAGTAGTGCGCAGCCTAGCCGCAACACCCCCGCATTATCATTTTGCTGGGGCATGTCCCCAGTAAAGCAAATAGGAAATGCAAGCACGCGCTTCATTTTGCCGTTAATTGTGAGGATTGTACCTCGGTCAAGCTTTGATAGCTCGGGGAGTGATGACATAACATCGTTAAGCTTGGCACCATGTGGCCCAAGAGTTATCACGAACACATTTGACCGCTTCATGCGGTCTTGTAGAGACTGCGCTGCAATTGTGTATATTCCAATGAGTGAGCAGTACATATTTCTATACACGCCAAATCCATCAATGAAGATGATTAGCGGCATAGATATAAAAGCTTCAAGTATCCAGTCCCTCCCATATGCCTCTAACTCTAGCTCAGCGATGTGCGGGTGTGACTGCGCTGCGGGCTGGATTTTCATTTTTGACAGGTTGAAGACACGGCGAACGTGGAGCTTGTCATTGAAGCTGTAGGCTTGGGCCGCTGGGATCCCGTTCTCAAAAAAACGTAGTCCACGGACAGTGTGACCTGGGCAATAACCTGTTCTGACGAGACATAGTCAAAATAGTCTTCACAGAGTATTTTCTCTGAGGCTCAAGTGGAATGGCCAACCGTGCAACTGCACTGCTCATACTTGGTGGTAAATCTGTGCTTATACACACGCGCTGGATTCGGACAAGGACATCGTTATTGTTGCTACTGCAACTTCGCTGATCGATGCCAATGCTGCACACCAAGATATATGTCGACTCGAGATCATATGTTATGGAGCAGGTCAAGCAATGGCGGAGCATGCTTTTGAAGAAGTTGGTTGTGAGTATTTTCATTATTCTGAGAGAAGCATATCTAACTTTATTACAGACCCATGTCACCATTGTCGTCGAGAAGGACCAGAAAGTTCCTGGTGGGATGCTGAAAAGCTGCTCCAAGTTTGAAGATCTTGTGCTGTCGTTCCGTGGGCGATACACCACTACCAACTTCATGGAGGTGTTTTACTTCGTTCACCGATATGTCGACATTCCCTCCTCTACTGCCCTGGGGCAGTATTACTGCTGTGAGCTGTACGCTCATATATGTGCAAAGGGCAAGCTGATGATGGATTGGGAGGCCAAAAAGGGACGCGCTGTGGATGACAAAATCTCGAGGAGTAAACTGGTTGAATTTATGTCCCAGTTCCCCCTCATCGAGAGGTTCGACGAGCTGAAGAAAGAGGACTTCCACGAGCTTTTCAACAAGACCATCCTGAATGACGACAAGATCCGACCGAAAATTTCCACCCTCCAGGCCGGTGTTGATTATTTCCTTGGCGCACCACCCCAGGTATGTTTACACTGTCGATGCTTACGACAACCCCCCTCCCCATGTTCTTGAGGTCTCTTTCTGTGCTAACTCTTGGATGTATCAGCGTAGTGAGCATACCTCGAACATACCCGGAACAAATCTCGAACATACCTCGAACCATGGCGAACATATGAAAACATACTGGAATACTGGGATATACTTGTGGCTTGGCTTGGCTTGGGTTTTCACAATTGGCTGGCAAGAGTCATGTTCTTTATGGCTGTGATCTTCGATCACCTTCCGGCATGGTTATATTTGCTATATACTACTTTTAGCTAATATTAAATGAACAGTCTTTGGAATCAACTTCGGAATCCCTCTGTTTTGTGCCGGTGATATGTTTCTGTTATACCTCTTGTCACAGGTTCGTTTTCATTCTCCATCTTGATCTGGGTGCTCATCGAAACTGCCTTCCTATTGTCGCCAGCGTTATCCTGCAATTGCTTCTTCTCCTTCCTGTTGCTTCCTTCTACTGTTGGTATTATCATGCCGCCAGGTGTTCCTTTTGCTGATCGTTCGCTGGTGACATATCTACGCTGGGAGTTGCCGCTCGTGGCTTGGGGCTGTCAAACCCTTGATTCCCAGAAGTAATTCGCGCTTTTACGGCTTCTTACTTTCTGTGGTATGGCTCTTTCTGTCTTCTTGCCACCACAATGCAAATGTCACTGCATATTCTCGTTGCCGCAGTGTATTGTCACCGTTGTGCTCTTGTTACCACCCTAATCCCACCACTACATGGCTCTGATAGCAATACTCACCGTCGATGAGTGGGCTTCTGCGAGACTGAGCATTTGCACCATTGGGCTGGTTAGCTGCGGGCGACCACCACCACCACCCCTACGCCTTCTTCATACTTATTTCCTTGTCTATCAGATTGATCAGAGCTGATCTGGATAGATATATAGGCAACCCTTCCCCGAGCAGCCGGCACTGACACCCTCATACTGCTCCTGGCGCCCCTTTCGGCGATTCTTCTGAGGGGCTGCAGAGCGACCGCCATACAACCGGGCGGACCCCCTTCCGACTGCCCTACGACCAGCGTTGGCCACTTTGCCGTTGATGGCGGCACCAGCGGCGGAACAGTTGTCAGGGTTTTTACGACAATTTGGGTGGATTGGCCACCACCGAGCTCAATATGGACAGCGGTAAGTCAATTAAACCGTCATATTACTATATACTTATTATCTACAGCGTATTTCCAGACCACCGTGGATGGCCGTTGAGCTAGAGAACGGCCGTTCCACCGAAGCTCGGGCCACTCCACCATTGGGGAACCGTAACTATAGGTTTTGCCCACTTTCCCACCACCGTCGTACCACCCTTACCAAAATAGGTGGTGCGCCAGTAAGGTAAGTTCTGCCGATACGCGAGTATAAGTTATAAAAAGAACCAGCAGAGTGTCACGTGTTGGACTGTGAGGCGACCAACGTGACCCAGACCCAGACCCAACCAATGATCCTCGGCTTTCTCGTTTTTTTCCCCAGACCCCGCCACAGCCTATACACAACCAATCAAAGTCTCATGATTATACAACTTTCCCTCGAAAATCCAGATAGTTGCCGATGTTCGCCCTGGGCATATGTTGTCAACTTTGTTTCCTCTCCTCTAAACCATAGAATCAATTCTGGCTGCTCAATTCCAAACTTGACAAGCTCAAACAAACTCGCAAACCCCCACCTCAACAGCCACCATGGACACCGTTCTTCGGCAGTCCAAGACCATGTGTCCCTTCCTGAAGAAGACCTCCCCAGCGACTCTCCGCTCCCTTTCTGCTACCAGCGGCCCAACTCGCAGCTACCATGCGTCCCCAGGTGGCGGCTCCATGTCCAACCTGCAGACCATTGCCCGCCGCTGCCCTGTCATGGGATCAGCTATGGCCGTCCAGAGCGCGAAGACCGGCGGTAAGGTCGCTTTTGGCGCTATTGCGGCCCTCAAGGGCATTCGCGGCTTCTCCGGCAAGGCCAGCACTGGTAAGGCCAAGCTTCATACCAGCAGTGCTCATGCAGCCAGGCCAATGGAGGGTATCCTGATGGGCGAAAAGCGTGAGTCAATTCCCAGGCACATATCTCTATAAGTGGTTACTGACACGTCCAAGTCCCCCAGATCCAGCCAGCCAAGCCAGTCAAGGAGGCTGCCACCGTACCAGAGAACCTCGTGAGGAAGGATGGCAAATTCGACTACGATGCCTTCTACACGAACGAACTCGAGAAGAAGCACAAGGACAAATCTTACCGCCATTTCAACAACATCAACCGACTGGCCAAGGAGTTCCCACGTGCGCACACTGCAAACCCAGAGGAGCGCGTCACGGTGTGGTGCTCCAACGATTACCTAGGCATGGGCAGAAATTCGAAGGTGCTTAAGGCAATGCATGAGACTCTCGACGTATACGGTGCCGGTGCGGGCGGAACACGGAATATCTCAGGTCACAACCAGCACGCCGTGGCGCTCGAGAAGACGCTGGCGACTTTGCATGCAAAGGAGGCAGCGCTGGCATTCACTTCGTGCTATGTTGCCAACGACGCAACTATGGCCACCTTGGGCAGTCGCCTGCCAGGCTGTGTCTGGCTCTCCGACAGCTTGAACCACAACTCCATGATCGTGGGCATCCAGCACTCCGGCGCGAAGAAGATGGTGTTCAAGCACAATGATCTCGCCGACCTTGAGGCTAAGCTTACGTCCCTTCCACTCTCCACCCCAAAGATCATCGCCTTCGAGTCGGTCTACAGCATGTGCGGCTCCGTCGCTCCGATCGCGGAGATCTGCGACTTAGCCGACAAGTACGGCGCCATTACCTTCCTCGACGAGGTCCACGCAGTGGGTATGTACGGACCACACGGTGCTGGCGTGGCAGAGCACCTCGATTATGAGGCTCACGTGAACGGTCGCCCCAGCGGCACCATCATGGACCGTGTAGACATCATCACCGGCACCCTCGGCAAGGCCTACGGCTGTGTAGGTGGTTACATCGCCGGTTCCGCCTCCATGGTCGACGCCGTGCGCTCCCTCGCCGCCGGTTTCATCTTCACCACCACCCTCCCCCCCGCCACGATGGCAGGCGCACGCGCAGCCATCGAGTACCAGATGTCCACCCAAAGCGACCGTCGCCTCCAGCAGCTGCATACTCGCGCCGTGAAGGACGAGCTCGCAGCTCGCAGCATCCCCGTCATGGATAACCCATCTCACATCATCCCCGTGCTTGTCGGTACCGCCGAGCTAGCGAAGGCCGCAAGCGACTTGTTGCTGGAGAAGCATGGGATCTACGTGCAGAGCATTAACTACCCCACCGTTCCGGTTGGACAGGAGAGACTCCGCATCACGCCTACCCCAGGTCACACGAAGGAGTACCGCGAGCACCTCGTCGACGCGCTCGAGAGCGTGTGGGCCAAGCTCGGCATTAAGCGCACCAGTGACTGGGCAGCCGAAGGCGGCTTCCTGGGCGTCGGGGCCGATGAAGCAACCATCGAGCCGCTCTGGACCGATAAGCAGCTAGGAGTTGAGGCTGCCAAGGGGACCAATGGGAAAGTGGGGGTCATCCAGGCGCTGCTTGAACGCGAGGAGGCGGCCCAGGCACAGACCGCGTCTGTGTAGCCGTCTATCGCTATCTACTCACCGAAGTAGCAGGCAGCGATACGGCTGCGAGTCTGGGGGCTCAGCGGACCGGAAACCACGACCTTTTTGAGCTGGGTGGGGAGTGGAGACGAGAGCATATTGTGATTATATATGCCCGAGATTATTTTGATTAGTGATGGGGATGGTGAGACGGCGGGCGGATTGAATGCCAGCTTGCAATTTCGATTCTTGCATATGCCATCTAACGCTTTACTGTGACGTAAATTGTGCTCTTGTTAGTAATATTCAGGTGCATGAATTATCGTGATGTGCGGAGATCCCCTCCGAACCCCTTTCTATGGAAGTCCCGGCAAAAAAAACCCGTTCCTATGATCTTAGCATATCTACCTCCCCTGTTCCCGGAAGTACTCGCATCCTCACGCATCTTCATCCCATCTCTGCAGCTCTGTCCGGATCATGCCGACTCTGCATCCCGGATCCCGAGACGCGGATCCACGCGCCATCGTCGCATGGACCAGTACTTTGTGATTCCAGCAGCCATGCATCCCCCAATTTTGAAACACCGCGCAACCCGGAGTCGTTTGAGGCTGAACGGGGAGGATGGGAAAGGTCGCCTACTAAATTTCCGCATTATCATCGTTGGCGATCCGAGCGTTGTTGGATCTGAGACTCGATTGCGCTGTGTTGTCGTCACACCCGTGCTCTGCCAACCGTGACGCGGTCCCGGCGCTGCGAAGGTATCACTTTCATGGGAGGCTCAATATGGTAATTTCACATTTGCGGATTGACGCAGCGTGCGCGTCGGGTTTGAGCAAAGCTTTACCTTGGGCGAAATGTAAGGAGGTGGTCACCGGCTCAGTTCCAGGTGTATATAGGCTCTCCCTTGCTCGTCTCACAGTGTCAATTGAAGCCCATTTCCTCCTCCCCAAAACCAAGTCTTAAAACCCGAAATCCATTCACCCACCAAATGACCATTCCCAGCCCACTTCATCAGACAAGAAAGAAATCAAGTTTTGCGCTTAACTCGATGCCACCTCCGCCGCCAGTACCCAAGCGCGCCCCTTTCCGGCCTCGCCAATTCTGCCGATCGCCAACCCAGCACCTCCGAAAACCAACGTCAACCGAACACCCTCAAAACCACCACCACGAACACCACCCACGCCGCAACCCCGTCTAAAACAACTCCTCTTCTTCCCCCAACCAGCTCCTCACCACCACCCCTCGCAACGGCATCACTGGCCCCTTCCCACCCCGGCCCCCCACCCCGCGCGCCCGCCGGACCACCCTCGTGTCCGCCGCCCATCCCAGCCGTGGACGAACCCGCGCCTCCGCCCGCCTCGTGGCCCATCTCCCACTTCTCCTCCTCGCCGACCTCTCCCTCTAACCCACCACCAACGACCGCAAACCCGCGCCTCCCCGCGCCCTCCTCCCAGCCGCCCTACCCGACCCCCCCGGCCGCCGCGCGCCATCGCTGGTCCCTCTACAACGCTTTCGCGCCTGCGCTCCTGCCCCAGCTACCGGACCCGCGCACGCAGCGGCTGAGGCTCGAAGCTCAGCGGGCTACGCGGCTGTGGAATCCGAGTAATAGCACGCCGCGCATGCGTCGGCCGACGACGACGACCACTACAACGGAGAGAAGGGCGCGTGGGAGAGCGGCGTCAGGAGCGAGTGTTGCGCAGCCAGCGATTCCGCTGCGGCATCCGCAGCTGACGAAGGGGGAGATTGAAGGAGAGATTCAGGGTGCGGGGGATATTGAGTTTATTGGCGGGAAGGATAAGGGTGGTGCTGGTGATTATCCGCTGCTGAGTTTGAGGGAGCAGAGGTTTAGTCGGAATTCGAGCGGACGTGCGAGTCTGCAGGTTGAGTACAGCGCGGCTAGCTCAGGGACGCAGAGTAATCGCGTTAGTCTGCCGAGGAGCGTGACATCGATTGATATACGGCGCAGTTTTAGCCTTGTGGCTGAGGATTTTGCGGCAGGTGCGACGGTAGAGCACGGCGATAAGGGGAAGGGAAAAGATATCGAAGGAAACAGACGAGTATATATTGAGCGACGATCAACGGGCTACCGCAAACGGGGACAGTTAGTTGCCTCGTTGCAAACACCCGTCGAGCTATCACCGAAGTTTAAGCAGGACATCGGACCACCTCTCGCGCACACCACAAGAAACTACACAATGGCCGATCTCGAAAGCGGTCCACCCCCCTCGCAATCCCAATCCCAAAACCCCTACCACGACCACGACACCACCGACAATCTCGCCTCCTTAACTTCCACACACACCTCCATCCACGGCTCCGACCGCCCCATCGCCCCCGGCGCCGACGACGCCTGGGGTCCCGCGCATCCATGCTTCCCTCACCTAAACCCCTACGTCCCCACCGACTCCGTCGCCTACGCAAACACGCGCATCATCCGCATCCCACGTGACTGGATGATTGCCGGCGACCTCGCTCCGACCTTCAGCGCCACATACCCCGAGCTACTCGGCGAGGCGGGACTAGGGGAGGCCGAGTTCCGGCGCTGCGTGGAGTCCATTAATACACGGCTCATCGAGGCGTTCAATCCGTTTGGTGTGCGGAATCTGGTGGATGCGGTGATGGGGCTATGTACAGGGTGGTTATGGGATGATGCGGGGCTGACGTATACGAAGAGGTGTTTGGCGGCGGCGGAGAAGGCGATTGAGGGGTTTAATCGCGAGTTGGAGATGGGGAGCTCGCAGGCGAGGTTTATTTCGCTGAAGAAGAGCGCGTATATGAGTGTAAGTCGACTTCACCCCTCCCAAATCCTATGATGTGATTTCTAGGTCGGTGGCTGACAGGTTCATAGCTTGATGTCCAGATCCCGACACCACAGATCGGGTTTATCGAGTCCGAGATGGGCGAGGATGACGACGGAGTCTCAGATGCGGGTACGGAGCGACCAATTGCTGAGAGAGCGGAGACTCGAGACGGCGAGGTGGTGTACTAGTTACCTGGTGAGAGCAAGCAAAAGTGGCAGCTGTGGACAGTTTACTGGATATACCCCCCATTTCCCTTAACACAACTCCGGATGGGCATTCGCATATTCGGAATTCTCCTTAATTCTTTTTTTTTGTCTCCCTGCCAGCGCGGCGTCTGGGTTTTGGGGGCATATTTCTCTACCAAGAAGCTGCGTTTTTTTCGACTGTGGCTTTCTTTTAGGATGGGATGGGGATGGGGATGGATTGGGATGGATTCTGTTACGTGGGTTTAGAGAGGTTTTTCTCTTGTAATGAGTAGTAGTTAATATTTCGGTGTTACGATTGGTACTGTCCGTTTGCGTGCGTATATGTTGTCGTTGCAAAGTTCAACATGCCATTCAACACCTATGTTTTAGGTGCTTCTGTGGTGAGGAGATTCCGGCTCCGAACATCTTGACGTTGATAGGAAACATTCAGACCTGATGTTAGAGCCAGAATCTTCCACACCACAGAAGCAGGTCACATAGCATCAAGTGCGGACTCCAATCGCAGTGCCAAGGCGGAGGGTCCGAACCCGTGCGCTACAGTGCCAAGGCGGTGGGTCGTCACTCCGAACCCCGCACGGGAACGTATATACAGTAAAAATACGATAAGTCGATATGCTTTTAGCCGATATTTACGTTATCTCGATATCTATTTCTGTACGGAAGCTTTTTACATACAAAACACAATACATCCGATATCGTGAGATCCTCCTTGAATATCAACTTATGCTAATCTTTTGAATCTTATAGAATGCCTTCGAGAAAGCTCAATTCAATGACGATTGAACAGCGTCGTGCTCTTCGACAATGGACCATCAACAAAACACCTCGAACTTCCCAAAAAGATTGTATCGCCTGGTTTTTTGAGAAGTACAACATTCGAATTAGTCAATCTACAGTCTCGGAATCCCTTAGCAGCCAATTTATCAACCTTGATGATCTGATTAATACACCAACAATAGGGAAGAGGAATGATACGAATATACGTCGACGGGAAGTGGCTTGGCCAGATATTGAGGCTATTCTTTTTGAGTGGCAAGAACGAATCGATTCAAAAGGAGGTTTTACAACTGCGGAGGTCTTACAAGAGAAGGCAAAGCGAATTTGGTCACAACTACCACAATATCAAGGGAAGCCTTCGCCAGAGTTTAGCATTGCTTGGATACAGAAATTTCGACTATGTCACAACATCCGGAATAGAAAGAGGCAAGGAGAAGGGGCATCAGTCAGTGAGACAGCAGAGGACGAGATGAGGGCTATTCAGACAGTGGCTGGGGAGTATTTAGAGGACAATATTTATAACATGGACGAGACGGGTTTATACTGGAAGATGATGCCATCTCGTGGGCTTTCTACAATGGAGGCTCGAGTAGGAAGGAAGATGGACAAGGCAAGGATGTCTGTCGTATTCTGTTGTAACGCTGCTGGTATTGATCGATGTCCTCCTTGGTTTATTGGCAAGGCAAAAACGCCTCGAGCTTTACGAAACATCGACATCATAGCAATGGGAGGGGTTTCGAGGTGGAATAAGAAGGCTTGGATGAATCAGTTTATTATGGCAGAATGGTTAAGGGCTTTTTATGCTCGTATTGGTACAACACGGGAGGTTCTTCTCACCATGGACAACTTTTCAGCACATATCAAGGCCCTCGAATCGACACCACCCCCTGCGAATATCTGAGTTATCTGGCTTCCTCCAAATGCAACAAGTCGATTTCAAGCCCTAGATCAAGGTATCATTGCCTCTGTCAAAGCTCATTACCGTCGACAATGTCTCCATTACATCCTTGACTTGACGCTTTTGAAAGGAATGAAGATCCTGTCCAAACGATGAATATACGACTTGCTATTCGATGGCTTCTTCGATCCTGGAATCATGAACTTACAAACTTGACAATCTATAACTGTTTTCGAAAGAGTACAATTGTTCAAAAGCCAGTTCAACTACCCTCACAACCTCTTCCTGATACTACCAATCTCTATCAACAAGTACAACAAGCTGGGAATGTACACGACTCTATGGATCTTTCAAGCTTTTTAAATCCAGTCGATGAGGATATACAAGAGTTAGAGGGGTGGGAGGATTTTCAGGGGGGGGATGCTATTCTTGAGGATATCATGTCACAATACGTCCCAGATACCACTCAAGATGATGAGGAAGAGGATGACCCTTCTTCACAGCCTGTGCCAACTACACAAGCTGCGATTAACGCCATTCAAGTTCTGATTGAGTTTACGGAATCTGGGAATAGTGACGCCTCAGAAGCACCAATGTTCTTACGTTCTTTTGAACGTTTTGAGAGACAGTTAAGGCTCCTTGAAGCCAATTCACAAAGGCAGGGGACATTAGACTCATGGTTTATGTAAATAGCTTCAATTTTTAATTTAATCACGTGTAATAACGTACATGTATAGCGAAAGCGCCAAACAAGCGAAAGCGCCAAAATTATCTACCCTCACGACAAACATTGCGATAAATCTACCACAACATTAGAAATCAATTGAAACTACTCGGAGTCCTCTTCCTCAGAGGTGTCTATTACAATCTGACACGTGCGCGCATTGTGCCCAGTCTCACCACACTTGCCACAGCGACGGGCACGGGTTTCTTCCCTTGGCTTCCGACCACGGCTTGCCCTTATTTCCTGCTCTACCTGCTGCACAACATCCCTCTCATCCTGTAGCTCTTGCGCCCCTTGTTGACTAAGTGATCCTCCTTGCTGTAGTCGTGTTTTCCTAGCTCTCCGGCGCTTGCTTAGTACTTCATTTGCCTGTCGTAGGTTTTGGTTCTCTCCCTTTAGCAGTGCTAATTGATGCATTATTTGCGATGCACCCTTTGTAAACTGGTCAACAGCTGCATAGATTGAGGTTGGAGAGCTATTTTGATGGCGTGAAATCCGAGTTTTAATAAATGTAGACTGTGACATAGCTTCAATTGGGTTGTTTGGTGTCTGAGAAACCCAAGGTTGAGCAGTACCTGGGCGGGAGCTTGGAGGCGTTGGTGTCCTTAACTTAAGATCAAGTGTAGATATCACTCTCTCAGGGTCAAATGGAAGAAGCCCTGCCCCTCGGAACCCGCCTCGAATGTTACTTTCCGTCATTGTAGTGTTAAATGCAGCGTGGAAGGCAGGAAAGAAGTCATCCTTTGTAATATGAGAAATATGAGCCTGCATCATATCTTCAATTTGCCGACCATAGGCCTGCTTTAACGGGCCGAAACAGCCAACATCAAGTGGCTGGAGTAGATGAGAAGAGTGAGCAGGCACACAAAGCGTAATAATGTTGTGTTCCTTGCAGTACTCCTCAAACTCATCTGAGTGGTGGCTCTCATGACCATCAAGGACTAACAAGCGATAACCACCAACACTCCGGGCCTTTGTATGCTTCTCAAAGTGCTGAATCCAATCCATGCCTCTCTCGTTTGTAGTCCAGCCATTTTCAGTAACAGAAATCACCCAATCGCTTGAAAATCCACTATTCTCATACCAAGATGTAAGGTGGTTTTTGCCTGCAACAATGATAAATGGTGGTACTGCCCAACCTTGAGAACTAACGCCTTGGATTACTGTAACCCATTCCCGATTACCAGGCTGTACCTTCTTTGCTTTTGCCCGCCCGTCTGAGCTTGTTACAACCATAGTGTCATACTGACATTCGTTGCACTCAGTTTGCTATCAAACTCAAGAGCAAACTTAGAAATCTCCTCCTCAAACCTACAAGTCACCATACATATCTTGGCTTATCACACCAACAACAGAAGCAATACTACTCAACGATTGCTGCAAACTCTTCTACTACATCTGTTTATGCTACATACATCACGGCATATCATTTGGACACTCATTGAACAAGTTATTAAGAAAATCTCCTCCTTAAGGGGGTGGGCCAATACTACCACATGGCATATCTCTACCAACTAGAGGCCTAGGAACATGAACGATAGCTCTAGAAGCTTCTACAACCCTCTATGATTCATTACACGTCATCGCTCCTTAGTTACCCACAAGATTGGTTAAGTTATGACATAATTTGTCTATAGGTACTCTGACCTTGGACCTCCTTTTCACTTCCTATAGGCTAGGAACCCAAGAGATGGTTCTATGGGATTCTCTTACGTTCACTACATGATTAGCAAGCTAGTTGTGGGTCGCACTTGATTTCTAATACATTTACCAAGCCTGGTTAGTCATGGAAAGTCATGGAAAATGAGAGAACTACACTCCTTTGGCATAAATAGGATTGCCCTTTCCTTAAGAAAGGGCAAGCAGACAATACAGTAAATCGACTAGCACATACTTCTACGTCTTTTCCAAGCTTCCAAGCATTGATCTTGTTATTCTCTGTTTTTGAAAAGTCAGTGAGGTGCTAACCTCTGACTTACCCCTGAGTTCTCAGACTCAACATTTGTTGCAACTTGTCTAAACCACTTCACCACATCATACACCTGATTGCTGCGTTGTGGAATAGTCTAAGCTACAACCCTTTGGCTCTGTTTCCTAAGACAGTGTGTTGTCTTAGTAAATTCATCCCTTCCTTGGGTGGCTAGATTCTCATATCTGGTGCACCCACCATTACACATAGCAGTTGAGATAACGCCCATCATAAACCCAGTCTCATCAAAGTTGTAGATATCTGCTTCATCGATACCATATTTCGCAATTGTGTTACGCACAAGTTCAAACCAGCCATTAATAACTTCTGGATCTTCGCACTTAGCCCTCTGGTAGTCGTATTTGCGCTGAAAGCGTGTCTGGAGCTCTACACGCCGCTTAACAAAGTTTGAAGCCCAACGCGACCCAACGCGTGACGCGTCGCGTGTTGCAAGTTGTAATGGTGGGTGCACCAGATATGAGAATCTAGCCACCCAAGGAAGGGATGAATTTACTAAGACAACACACTGTCTTAGGAAACAGAGCCAAAGGGTTGTAGCTTAGACTATTCCACAACGCAGCAATCAGGTGTATGATGTGGTGAAGTGGTTTAGACAAGTTGCAACAAATGTTGAGTCTGAGAACTCAGGGGTAAGTCAGAGGTTAGCACCTCACTGACTTTTCAAAAACAGAGAATAACAAGATCAATGCTTGGAAGAAAAGACGTAGAAGTATGTGCTAGTCGATTTACTGTATTGCCTGCTTGCCCTTTCTTAAGGAAAGGGCAATCCTATTTATGCCAAAGGAGTGTAGTTCTCTCATTTTCCATGACTTTCCATGACTAACCAGGCTTGGTAAATGTATTAGAAATCAAGTGCGACCCACAACTAGCTTGCTAATCATGTACTGAACGTAAGAGAATCCCATAGAACCATCTCTTGGGTTCCTAGCCTATAGGAAGTGAAAAGGAGGTCCAAGGTTAGAGTACCTATAGACAAATTATGTCATAACTTAACCAATCTTGTGGGTAACTAAGGAGCGA